GTTGCCGGTACGAGTGTCCTCGAAGCGATCACGAAGAAAATCCAGGTACTCACATACCCATCATTAAGTTGCATAATCTTAGAGCAGCTCCTTTAAAAGCATATTTATAAACGGTGCGATAAATTATTACCGTTTCTATGAGCAGCGACATCTGTGGAGAAAGTATTATTATTTTTTACTCGGTCGCCGCAGATACATTATCATCGTCATTGCGGAAACAAGCTGGATTAAAGCAATAAAATGTGTAACAATAAAACATTTTACGGATAAACGTTTTCACACTTGAAGCTGTTTTGAAAAAAACGCATTCGATGATGACGCACGTGCACTTTTGTAGCTTTCACAACTGAAGGATTGACAAAGTCTCCCGTTTTACATTACAGTAATTTATGTCGTGTGGAATTCACTTCCTACCGATTATATTATCTTCTGGCAACACTGCACAATACACGGTGTCCGTTCGATAAAAAATTATAATAATGACCGTGTGCGTGTACGTTTATGTGTATTTATGTTCCGGGTGTGGCTGTATCTCCTCGTAGTGAATTTCGCGTGGGCGAGAAAGGATTTAGTGGATATCGTTATTTAAAGAAAATATCGCTATAATAACAACGTTCGGGTCGCCTGCGGATAATAGGCGGTATTATTTTTGTTTTGTCAGCAAACAATGCCGAATTGTCGCCGAAGGTAATGCGAACTTGGCTATTGCAAAAATAAAATCGCCAATTTTAAGACAAAAAAAAAATGGCAGGTTTTTTTTTTTTATCTTCTTATGAACCGCTCATCCAATGCTAATAAATGTTGAAATACCGATTCAAAAATTGTTATCGACAAGTCATTTTTTTATTTTTAACATAATTAAGCGTTTGTGTTGCCATTTCAAGTTGAGATTATTTTAAATGGCCGAGAGGGAGGAGAGTACCACTTTAACGACACGTAATGTTTGCCCGGTTAACTCAAAGTCAACAAAATTGTTCGTCCAAAGTAATGGACAATTTTTTTTTTTTTTTTTAAATCCATTAGCATAAAGCGTAGGAATTGCTCACGGATAGTATCCATCTAAATTCGGACACGTTGCCCGTATCGTCTGATGAAATCTCATTAAAAACAAAATATATACTTAGTAATAAGACTGTTGTGTTTCGAGTACATTGACATGGCAGAGCATAATGAAACCCGCAAATGAGACAAGAGCGCAATGCGAGTCTGACGTTCATTACGTGTTATCAATCAATGACAATTGCACATGTGTTAAAAAACGGTTTTGACGAACAGCCTGGTCATTATTAACCATTTAACCATTAAATCATTGACCAGTCGATAGACATCCGTGGGCAGCTAACCGGATAAGCCGTTTTTGCGGTGTTTGCAGACGACCTGCAGCAGCTCCAACAGGAAGAAGACGCGCACACTTGGTGAATAGACGATTTTTTTTTTATTGAGTGAGAACACGTAGAACAACAACAATAATTAGAGCGCGTAATCATGGCGTTTATTTGTTTTTTTAATCAAATTAATGTGTTGGCAACACACGAAGATTCGTTATCATGTACTACGTCGTCATCGTGCGCTATTACTGTAAATTATTCACGTGTAATATTTCCACTTATAACGGACGTGTCTCATTTAGTTGTTGTGATTATTATTCGTTCAATGTTGTTGTTGTTTATCACGAGCGTGTGTTGAATGCAAATGGTAAAAAAAAATGTTTTCGTCCATAATTAACGTAAATATAGGCGCCTATCAATACGTACAGAATCGTTAGCCTTGTGAGTCGATGCTAAAAATACATTTGCCTCGGGCAGATCCCAATAAAATGTTTTCGCGATCACAAAGTCAACAAGCGTGAAATTTTTTTTTACAAATTTTCGAGATACCCTGACGAGTTATTGGCTTTTCCCACCGACTCTCATAGACGTCGTTCCTTTTTAATAATATTTACACGGAGGCGGCGGCAGTGGTCGTTGTCGGGGTGAATAAGTGCGGCACACAAACAGTTGTGCACTTCGGACTCCGAGTAGCTGTTCTCTTGCTCCAATACGGCAAGAGGTTCGGCCGAACATAACGAACCGTAATTGCCGCGTGTGTTATGATGCGGTACGGTTGGGTTGGGTACCGTCTGCGCAGAAATTCGATTTGTCAATGTCAATGTGGAAAAAAGGACTCCCTCCGCCGCCGCCCTACGCGGTACACGACTAAATGAAGGTGAAGAACACGGCACATTGTTACGTATCCCGCCGAAAGCGTGTTCGATTAGCAAACGCATTGCCAAATCGATCGTGACGACGACGACGCTGATCGACCGTCTTCGACATAACGTTTTAATCTCGGAGCATATCGCACAAGAGTTACCACAACAGCAGGTCGGCTCGGCGGCGCCGTCATACATTTCTATACGCGTCGCGTCCGCAAGACTGTCCGGAGGAACAGCACCGGAGTCCCGTGACGGCCGCCAAAAATATCGGCGTTCCGTCTGTTGCGCCGCGTCCAGCGGGCTTCGTGTAAACGATGCTGCGCGTCTACTGGTGGCACTGGGGACTTGCAACAAATGATACAATACCGAGGCAACGCGCGCCAACGCCGAGATGATATCAGCGCACAGACTTAAGTATAATGTATACGATCCATTATTATTATTATTATACGGTGGTAAAGGAGCGCACGAACAATGCGACGGGCCAGCGCTCATTAACCGAACGTCGTTATTGTGCCGGTCGCCGTCGTGTGCACCTCGCGGTAATAATACGTGCGCGCAACGGACGAAATACAGTAGGGAAACGACAATATGTGTAAAAAAACAAATAATACAATAAGATTANAACAATATGTGTAAAAAAAACAAATAATACAATAAGATTAAAAACAACACCCGACTTCATCGAAACTCCTTTGGTAAACAAAAATCACACCCCTTGGGTAAAACAAAAGAAACGTTTGGCGGTTACGACACCAAGGACGCGGTGTGTGATAACGANGACAATATGTGTAAAAAAACAAATAATACAATAAGATTAAAAACAACACCCGACTTCATCGAAACTCCTTCGGTAAACAAAAATCACACCCCTTGGGTAAAACAAAAGAAACGTTTGGCGGTTACGACACCAAGGACGCGGTGTGTGATAACGAGGCGACGGTTACAAATCGTCTTGGCTTTCGAACACGACCAGAAGCCTCCTACGGACACGTCAATGGCCAACAACACTGTCGTCGTCCTAATACAGACGAGTAAAACATTACGAATACCTTTGCACCGGCCACGATACGCATAACAACACCTGCTACATAAAGTTGCACAATTTCGACCGAAAGTTTGGTTTGAACGGATCGTCGACCTAGCGATACGCATAATCGCGTGCCCACTGTAATTTCAAGACAAACGCCTACTAGAAAATCAATGTCAACGTGCACACGTTTGTTTAGTGTGCCTGGAGAATTGAGGTCGCCGTGTAAGACATAATAACACTACTTAATGGCGCTAAACGCATGTAGGTGCACGTGTATTCAATGCAGAAGATACGAACCGTGTTTCACGATTCCATCAAATTTTTAACATTTCCGCATATGCGTTGGAGGCGGCCGTTTAGAGTTTTTATGGCCGAACACTATCATAACGAACAAACTTCTCCGGCGTCCCAACGATTTTCATACGCTTTCTTGCTCTCTGGCAAAGTGCTAGCAGCTTTAGTATTACAAGGGAAACTTTATCGACAAACCAACATTAAGCCAAACGACGCATTATGACGTGCCGCTTGCATTGAAAATATTGCAGGAGGCAGATCTTTGGCTACATTATTATGGATACTACATTGGAATCGACGACGCCACTCCCACGTTCTTATCAGATTAAGCGGTCACGATTAAATATATTATTGCTGATTAAAATTTTGCGCGGCAGCAGCAGTAGCTTGCACTTTGCTGCGCCGGATGTAAAATGTAACTCGACATTAATTCACCACAACATGACATTAGACGATATTTATTGATAAATCGAACGTGTCCATATAACTAATAAGCAAGGAAAATGAATTTCCTAGTGTACTAAATTATCATAAAAAAATGAATAATAAAATTTCGATTAAGTTTTATTATTTGGCTAACAATATGAATTGAAAATCAATATAATTTTTTACACGTTTGCATTCACCGACCTTATATTATGACACACGGCAACGATAAAATAACTACAGGTTAAGGAAAAATTGAAATTCAACTGCTTTTCTTCCTGATATTTGGTGGTGCTCTAAAATTGTACATTCAGCATATTTCAAGAGTGCTAGACGACACTGCTACGAACTCGAGAAGCTTTATTAGCAACGTCAATAAAAAACTACCATTCAATTCTATAAGTTGTACGGTACGGACACGTAAGAAGTCACTACAAGGTTAGACGGGTCATTATTATTGTTATTTTTAGTGCCATATAAAATACACCAGTCTATGTGTATGTATAAACTTTCTTAAGACGATGCGCGCGCGTGCTCGCGTCCTTGGGATTGATTATCTTTAATTCTTCTTGTACAGGAGAAAAACAGTGTGTGTACCGGTGGCGCACACGGGAACCAATGTTCGAATGTCATGGGAAAATAACAAATATGTTTTGGAGGATATAGTCAATAATAATAACAATGATAATTATGCGTGGCCAGTGTACGAGCAGATAAGTTTATCGCGCCCAATAATCTTTACACATACGCGCGACCAACAGAGCGTTGGTTCGGATCGATTGACAACAAGGTGGAAGGGGGCGCAATAAGTCATTGGAGCTTTACAGTGTTGGAGAGCTCTCGTGATTGATGCTCTCCACCGCGCACGCATATTATACTTAAACGCGTGTACGGCTGTTCAACACACACGTCCAATATTATATTATAGAGACGTCGTTCGTTTCTCAATCGACGTCCGTTGACCTCGATGAGACCGAGTATATATTTTTTATCATTAATTTTCTCGTTCGTTTACCATATTTATTTATATTGGTTATTGATATCGCGGCTCACCTGGTGTTCTGCTGCAGCATGTGACCCATGTCGTCGACCAGCTCCTGCATGACCAACACGGTGGTTCCCGGCGCTCCCAGGTACTGCTGCCCGGCCTGGTTCTGGTGAACCAGTACGGACACGGCCGTGCCGTTGGACGACTCTTGTTGGATGGTGATACCCGGCGGCAGCGAGCCCGGATTCTGTGGGTCGTAGATGATGGTCTGCTGCGGATCTGTGCCCGGTATGTATATGACGGTCTTCTGATCCAATGGGTCGTCTTGCTGCTGCTGATGATGTTGAAGGTGAGCTTGTTGCTGATGGTGATAGTCTTCGTTGGCCGACGAAAATTCGTCAACGCTGACGGGTTGCATGGTGGCTAACATCACCGGCGACGAGCTTTGAGGAGGCATGTCCTGCGCGGCGTTTGGCGACATCACGGCCTGCGGATGAGGAGACGGGAGAGTACCGGGCGCCGGCATGGAGGTCGGCGACGGGATGTCTTGGCACCCAGTCTGAACCACCGCCACAGGCGAACCGGTCAACTGTTGTTGCTGTTGTCCGTCCACCGAAGACATAATGATTGTAGTCTGCACGGCACGCGTAGCTATTGTTAGGTGTGATTCGTCACAGGTGTTTAGGTTACAAGGTCACTGGATAGAATTATGTGCGATTAACTTGCTCCGACTTCAAAATTTTGATTGCACATTTCGCCTGAAAAAAAAAATAACACTATTACTTTTCTCGTTCAAAGGCTAATTATTCGTTAACTGGAATCGCCATGTGGCAGTTTGAACGAGATAGTTTTTTGCGTCATGTTTGTTTGTTTTTTTTTTCAACTATAATAATTATATTTTTTCCACGTGTACATTAAATAACAAGGTACATACTTCTTTATGATTTTTTTCTTGTATTTGACAATAAATCTCTAACACGCTCGAGTCTACAAGAAAAACACCATAAATGGAATGAACCACAATAATGCGCATCTATCTATACAGTAAACGACAACGGTTCGTTATGATTTTATTCACAGTAAGATACTCGAAACGGTAGCGAGAATAGTTTTATAGCGATTTCAAATAGAAATTCAAGTACACATTCTCTTTATCGACATTGTCCACTATATTTATTAGCAACTGCGGATGATAATAATTCTATAAAAATTTTTTACAGCAGTTGCCAGAGAATTATATTCTGCCACGAGTACTGCGCGCAAAGTTATAGACGATATTTTACTAGCGACTGGAATTTTTTTTTTTTTTAGTNCATTTTTTTACAGCAGTTGCCTGAGAATTATATTCTGCCACGAGTACTGCGCGCAAAGTTATAGACGATATTTTACTAGCGACTGGAATTTTTTTTTTTTTTAGTGGTAGTAAGTGCATTTATTATTATTATTTACCTTGTATGTATAACATTACGTTTGGTAATAAAAAAAAAAAGTATAAATTTGTCGAAAAAGTGATGTGCTACCCAGTAATAATAAAACGTGACTATAGTAAATATGCATTTCTGTTTCATCGCAATGTCGTCGATTTAATGAAATAATTACATTTTGGCTCTTTGGCGGGCTCGGAGTGCGATTTAATTTTAACATTTTTACGACTCGCTAAAAGAAAAATATACACTACATGTGTATATTCATAAATGGCAATACATTTACATGGTAATGAAAATAAAAAAACGGCACTTAACGCGATTAGTATTACTATAAAGCGTAACATGACGTGGTGAAGGTGTTCGAAAACTCTTAGGCGCCACTTAATGACAAACGAATAAAATAATTTGCAAGTCTAACGAAGTCATTTGACGAGGAGAAAGGGGATGCGTTTCAATTAGTCTCTGCGATAATTAGCATAAACCTTGTTGATATTTATATTTAATGGCTAACAACCGAAAGGTCAGATATCGTTGAGGATTTGTTATCGGATGCTATTCATATATTTTTAGTTTAATGGAAACGAAAGAAAATATTGCGATATCCAATTACACGAACCTTGAATTCCATTGAAAATGTAAAATAAATAATCAAAAACTCAATTACACTGCCAAGTTTTGCACTTATGATTTGTATTTGCTCTAAACCAAAGCGATATGTTAATTTATTTCTTTGTCAAAAAAATTTATAGGAATCCTTGTTTCATTCGCAATCGATATAAGGATAAATGAAACGATGACATTAATATTAACTACGTAGAGCAAGCACACCTACGGGAGGCGTAACTTTTTACTTAGAGTAAACACAGTAACAGTAATAACTTCTCCAGAGTTATAAATGATCCGGTGTAATATGTTTTCTTGTGTTGCATGTTCAGCTGCAGTAGGTCGGATCGCAATAGGATAACAAATATTTTAGGCGCCTCGATATACCTGAATATTTTAATTAACGTTATACGAGTGTTTTTTGTTAATCTTCAGACAAGAATAGCTATTTGATTTATGCGATCACATTTGACTGCAACAACGTACAAACACATACATTTATTAAACACGCTGTCGTAACGTGTAAAAAATAAATTGGCCATCGGTCAATTTTTTCTCTATTGTTCCGGTGAAGTACTCGATTTGTGCATCAAACCGTGACAGTACCAAAAACGTGATAGGCGCCAACGCGACTGACATTGTAATTTTTAATATATTTTTCACTTATCTGGACAAAGCGGATAATTTTTCTTTTCTCGTTGATCTACCGCCATGAAGACACGAATAGTGCACCGCGTTGAGATTTAGAACGTTAAAGTTATTCAGCTAACACGCGCTTTCGTAAAATTGTGTGCTAAAACTTGCGATGTTTTTCGGGACAGTCACTCTTTAACGCCATTTGGGCTGTGATAACGTTTTGAATAACTGATAAGAGATCAGATTAGCGACAAATTCGCATATCGGGTATCTTCTAATCTATTCCGCGTACAAGTCATGGGACACAGTAATGAGTCAACACTTATTATAATGCTATTGAAATTAATTGTTTTCGGGAACCTCTAGTAGGAAATGTTAACCACAAGTGACGTTAGCGGCTTGCCAATGTTTAACTATCTAACAGGCGTTACAATTTCGGTTTATTGTTAGAAAAATACTTTTTTACGCCGTTAATTTACCAGTGTACGTTCAATTATTCCAAAAACCGTTTTTAATCTGTTCTCTGACCGACATTTGAACATTGTATAATGAGAATGTAAATAAAAATTTTACACGTTCTACTAGATCCGTTTAATTTTGGATGCAATGAGTTATTTTGGTAGTCATTGAGGCACATTAATGTCTTTTATTTTTTACTGCCCGTGGTTATTTGTGTAATAATTCAAAATCCAATGGAACATCGAGTGCACGCGAGTTCGAACCTTACACTTGAGCAGTTTGGTCGAAGCTTTGGCAATATTCTCATTTAATGGCCGTTCGGAACAGGTTTCCATTAAATGTTGGGATAAAATATTACACAGATAATAAAATATATTATTGTATCGCGTGTGAAAAAAAAAATAATAACGACCGCCGCCGAGTTTTAATACGGACAAGATCCAACACTGCTTTGCATAATGCGCTTGAAAACGAAACGACCTACCTAATCTAACCCATACGCAGCATTAAAAAACTATCTAACGGACGTACAATTGGTATCGAAAAAACGATTCGGACGACCGATGTCGATTCCCACCGAGCACAATATTATTACTACACTTACGTGAGGAATCAAACACGCCTATATATATATATGCAGTACGTTTAAATGTTTGGGTATATGACATTGGAGCAGACGACGGTGCAACAAGTCGGACGGCAACAGCAGGAGCAATAATAATCAACAGGTGTGCATTAAAAGCGGACAAGTCAGAGGCAATAAAATTATTTTATTTTGTTTCAATGCCTCGTATATTACATAATTAGACTCAAATAAAGTAAAATATATTGTAATATAAAGTGTATATTTATACATACACATTGGATTTCTGACGAAAACAGACGAGCCATCCAAAAATCACCGGCGACGACAATGTCATTATCAAAAAAAAAAAGAAAAAAGTAATACTTGTGGAGAGCGACGCGCATTACTTTATAAATGTACAGACCAACAAGCGTTGAAGTGGGACGAGGGAGAAGAGGCTCGGGCCAAGGCCGATCGTGTGTACTGTAACGGTCCAATAGCAGCCACCAACTGCCGATAGCGTATGTGCCGCCAACAGTTTTCTAAATGTCTTGCGAGATGACAGTCGATGGCGAACGTAAGAGGACTGTGCTGTTGGACATAACGCTCTGCGAAAACGCGCCAAAAAGTGCCCGGTCGAAAAGTCCATCGGAGCCGAGTCAGAAATAATACGTGAACTGACCACGAAAGAAACCCAGAGATTGTTACCATCGACGGAACGCCGACAACATTATAATAAATTTAGTAGATATATTTTACATAAAGGCAATCGTCGGTAGAAATGAAAAACGTATAATGATTTTCAGCACGTCAGAAAAATTTCGCATTACGGTCCATTAATTTTGTAGTTTTTCGGACGGACACCCAAACATGTGTCGATAGAGATTTATGTTATTGTCCGTGTGTTGTAAAATAACGTTACGTAGATTAATATTCGTCCACCGCCGCCACAACACGACCACCGAAGATACGCCGCACCGACACCGAACACACAGCGTACAGGTAGCCAGGTATACGGCACAGGTACACAGCAGAGAGGAGTACGCGCGTTGCCAAGTTTATTACCCCGCGACCGCCGCCATCCGTTCCGTCGAATCCATTTTATTGAAACGTGCGCGTACACCAGACAAACATTCTGTGTACTCACTAACACTTTTATCACAGGTGTGCCGCTGTGTGCGTCCAACGGACGACGGGGGTAGTAAAATGTATTTTTCCTGGTCGATTCGCACAAACAACAAGCAAACAAAAAACACTTTCCCGAAACGGATGTGAAAATACGTTAAGATTTCTACCCAAAACACGATATTACTTGTCGTAAATAAATTACACGTCATTTTCAAAACAAAAATAAAAAAAACAATTAAATATTTTTAAAAAGTGATAAATTACGAATTTAATGTTACCGCTCGGTTTTCGCATACCACCCCCCGACTAATTTTAAGAGAGAAACGAGTGAGAACGTTGTTTGAACATTAAACGCACAATAATTCTTACTTTCAACAGACGGGGAACACGATGTGCTCACAGTAGTGTAAGTAAGGAAGGTTAGAGAAAGACAATAACTCCAAACCTAGTCGGCCGGAGGCACAAACGTTTTGAACACTTAACACGGTGTACAAAGGTCAACCGTGATATAAGCGTGGGCATAATAATAATTGAATGAATAATAATTTAATGTAAACACTGAAAATACTGTTGGATGGCAAGTGTGACGTCCGCAATGATGTTGCAAAGCAAAAAATAAAAAGTTCACCGCTGAGATTATCAAATACATTTCATTTCGAATGTTCAACAAGTAAGGGAAAAGATTCTTATTGTTCATAAAATTGTACCGCTGCTCTTGGGACCGGCGACATTTTGAATTGATCAAACGTAAGAAATATGTCAGAGCCCAAGAAATGAACAATAAAAAAATCAGATTCTAGTAGCATCGGTAGTGTGACTCGACGACGCTTGGCCGTAAAAACCACTTGGACATCACTTGCGCGTTTAAGTGCAATATAATATCATTAGACATTTTATCGACTGGCATATTACAACAGTTCCCATTGAAAAAAACGGGCGCCAATCAAAGTGTCCTCGACGATTTTAACGGTCGATTAATATAGTATTTTACTGACTAGCAAGACAACTGGCACACGATTACAATATCAGTGGTGTAAAAAACAATTAAGTCAGCAACAGTCACATAACGAGTGAAAATATTTAAAACAAAATTCACTGACTAAAACAAAGGTGATTATATTTAGACGTGCAGTAATAAAATATGATTAGACGATTAACCTTCTGTATAAATATTTTTAAAATTCGCCTTCTTTGTTGCACAGTAGTTAATGTTACTCGTGGCCAGCCATTAGTAATGCGTGTTTTAAGTACAGTCGGGTGGTCCCCGCTATTAACTCTAATCGTTAATTAAAAATGTAATACGAGTATTTTTACAAAAGTCTCCCCGACATTGTTTTATTTTCGTTTGCCCTCCAGTAATTTGGCTACCGTAAACACATTCACGGGAAAACAGTAGTTGCGTTGCTAAAATATTATTATTTTTTTCGACCGGTCGGACTCTATCGTCTGTCCGATGCGCAAATCAAAAACAGGAAACAACCGTACGCGGCGATCATTCATCGTCGTCATATTTGTTTATCCGTTTCGACTGGCACGAAATGCAATTCCCACCACCGCCTGAACTTCGCATTGGAAAAACAATTATGTTTATCGTTGCAGAGTTATCGATCGACTCGATGCTGTCAAATCATCAACTACGTTCGTTACTGTGTACTATACGACGGCAGTCAATAACACGCGCATATGAACCACGACAATTACACAAGTGAAAGTGTCGTTTCCACGACGTATGATTAAACACAATAAATAAAATAGTGTCCATAATAATAACACGTTGTCGATTGTATGACACAATTATGACGCTCAAATAACAAGCGGATCAACTGAAACAACAACGTAGCGCAACATGAACGATTCCGCCGTTTCTGGGTAAAAATCAAACCGGTGAAATAACTTACAAAGTCCCGTTAGATCGATTGGCGATTTTTGTCGTCCTTCAAAACTTTGTAAATGTCATTACTATATTACCCAGTGACGGAGTAATCATACAATTTTGGAAATCAAGAATGGCGGTAGTGACAACGCGGGTAATAAATATGAAACGACTAATGCCGACAGCCGACAATTTAAAATAAACACCTTGTTTTAGACCAACGGCCATCACAATGTGTGAATGTTGTAAACGATACTCGGAATGTGTTCTAATTTTACGGCCATAATCATTATCACTGATAGTAAACGCCTGGTGACAAACGNCGCGCCGACAATTTAAAATAAACACCTTGTTTTAGACCAACGGCCATCACAATGTTGTAAACGATACTCGGAATGTGTTCTAATTTTACGGCCATAATCATTATCACTGATAGTAAACGCCTGGTGACAAACGCGGCAGTCCGATAATTGTTTGTCAGACAGTCTACGCGACAACCGATAAAAATAAACGATATTTGGGTAATCGCAACAACAATAATTGAGGTGATGATAAATAACGACGTGTAGGTATATAAGCGTATTACCTTAGAGACTTATCGAAAATAAATTTTACATTATGACGGCGGTGTATACGTGTGGGACGAAAATAACGCATTGGCTCGCGTCCAAATTCTGAGTAGTCCCCCCGAATACACCTGTTGGTAATAAATTATAAATGATAATTCGTCGTAGCGGACTGGACTGTTTCCCAGATGAGAACATCATTGAGATTTTGTCGTAGTACTATGGACGGTACTTCGGGTAGAATTTAATCAAATTTTGAGGATTGCGCTAAGGCGGTTGAAAACACAACGGCCACTAGGTATGATGTTGCATTGTGCTCGTGCAGACACGCGCACGCGAGAGGCTCAAGGTCACCGTCACCATGTCGGAAGTATCTTGAGCCAACAACAATACAAGACGCACATACGGCCCGCACACGGTTTGGACGCAATTCGCGGTTTCCAATTCAACAGGGTTTCCCAAAAAACAGGAACGTAGTTTGAGGCATCTCAACGGCAAAAGCCAATGTACCGATCCGCTGTAGACGAGCATACGAGGAACGAACGCCGTCGTTTATGATGCTCGCGTAATACGCGCTGTGCAAGCGCAATATTATAATTGGCACGCGTACTGGAAGAGGGGGTTGGGTAACATTGGAATCTCGTGCGTGTGCAACGGTTGCGTAGGACGCCCTCGCTACCGTTGGCCGACGACAGTTCCGGTCCGGTTTTTTGGCCACGTGCTACCCCTTCGCAAAAGCCGGCGCGCACGTAAGTCACACGTCAGAACCAGTTTTTCGTGTGCCGCCGCCGCCGCCGCCGCGGTTATCAGACAGGGCCGTCCTACCTAGCAGGTTCCGTCGGAAACAACGGTGAACAGGTTTGTTGGGATTGTTGCCCGCCTATTCGTCAGTAGTCAACGCGTTCACAGCGGCCAAAATTTATTCTTATCAGTCGCACGTGCGCTGGCGTGTCGCACAGTATCACGGGAAAATTACTGCACAACAAAAGCGTTTCACCGGTTAATCAAAATGTTTTCTTTGCTTACCTTCCCATTCGAGCTAGTTTTCATCCAATTCGTGTTCGGCCAATCCGCAAACGTCGGTCGCTATTTATAGTTAAGATACGGTAAAATAAAAACAATAAAACTGACGCCGTCAGATAAACGATTGGAATGCGACGGTCCGGTTTTAATATTAACAATTTGATTATTTTCGATTACTCGGCAAAGGAGCAACGGGCAGCGGAGGCCGTACTATACGTGTGGTGCATTCTACGTCCGTATGGCACTGGTCGGATTCTTATTTAGGAATCGCGCGCGCGCACCGTTCTTAGCTTTCCTGTGTGTGTGTGTGTGTGTGTGTGTGTGTGTACGTAAACGCGCACCTTGTGTGTTAGTCGGTGTATGTGTGTGAGTTACGGTGCGCCGCCGCGCTCTCTGTCACGGTGTACTGCGATGGCGGCGGCGGTTACGTCCTCCGTCTTTGTTCGACCCCGACAGCCACTCGATGTCGGTCTCTCTCTCTTTCTCTCTCGCTCGGACACTCCTACGCGGCTGGCCGGCCGACCGTTCGACGTCGCGACTCTGATCGGCTGCTGCGGTCCGTCGGCAGTAGGAGTGCTAGCGGTAGTGGTGCCGGCGTGCAACAGGTGGGGGTGTACCGGCGCAGGACCCACGTTGCCCCGAGGGTTTGCGCGAGAGGTGCTCGGTTTGCTGTTGAACCGACCGCGTCTCGCGTTGGATTATTCCCCTCCGTACCTGTCCAGGTAGGCCACGGGGTGACCGCATACCGAAACGGCGTACAACTGAAAATCTGTTGGGTAAAACCGTCTCGTGTACTTTTACACGGGCTCAATAATACCAATGCGAATATTTTATTTCCTCTCGTCTACTAGACGCTAAATGCAGAAGACTTTGGCGGAAGTAAACCCAAGCGATCGATTGTTTTTTCTTATGGTACGAAACAATAAAATGAAATTTACCTGCACTGGAATCGCTTTGGTTTGGTGTTGTTCGGGTCGGTCGTAAAAAATAGAATCGTTCGATGTACGAACCATAAATTTCATAACTGGCGAGGAGTAATGTTTTAACAGCGTACAATCGCATTAACATTAATTTTATTTAAAACCCATAAGACTGCTTAGGAGTGGGTTTGACGTTTTCGATACTAACCTTGCGTTTAAAATTACATTTACACGAAAATTTTACGAAACGCGAACACACATTTTTTAATAATGAATTTCTAATGTACCCGTGAGTCAATAATGGAAACGGACGAAGGTTAAACTGTTTCGAATTAATTACGGTGCAACGATTGTTTTCGTTGCGTCGACGAGGTACAAAAAAGTACACGGGAATAAAAAAAATAGCCGTCTGCTCATTGATACCACCGCTGACCGTTCATTAATGTAATGGCCATCGAAGAAGGAATAACGACACACTGTACTCGGTTACAGGTTAATCCGCAGACGTCATGCCCTCCTCTCTGCTAAGGCGATTAAAAGTGATGTCGTCTGCTGATTACCGACGATAATCACTCGGGATGCGAGAAGAATCAATAAATTAACTAAAAGAAGTACATTAAGCCAACTAAAAAAAAGGATATATTTAACGATTATTGGTCGGGTGATTCCGGGACGACGGCGGCGGCGGTTGCGTTTCGAATGGAGAGCATTGTGTTTTAGCCAAAACTGGTGTTGCGTAATAATCCGTTATTTTGTAACAATTTATTCTCGGCAATAATTGTAAATAATACACGTCGGTGAAGGTATTTCCATAAAGTCGAACATTCTGAGTTTTCACGCGAACAACATTACAGCAGGTAATGTGTATTTCAAAATCGTCACCGCGGGCAATGCGCGTTCTACACGGCCGTTGTTTATTTCGCTTTTGTCCGACAATAACGTAAAGACATTAGCCATTAGTGGCGCGTAATACACCGCACTTGCATTCCTGTATAATTAGTCTAGCGACCGGCCAGTACAAAATCGACGTGCTCGTTCGGCTTATCAATTGCTGGAACGCCGTCGGAACAGCGTTCCAGTGTCGTTTGCTCGTCTCCGTGTCGATATCGATCCCCGGCCCTGCAATTATTGTTGATCCGCACCGTCGACGATGGTCCGCACCCGGTGCTGCACTCTTATCGGCCAAACGTGCATTACACTGGCGCTAATGTAATTTCATTTTAGCGTTGTCATCCCGTACGCCGTTGTTTGACTGGTGTAATCCATCAGACACCCAAGTACGAGTCGTTTTTTACACGAGCCGAGTGAGCGCATCGCGTTAATGTTTTTACGCGCAGTTCATAAGGTCGTACGATTTTAACGCCGTTCTATGACTAACACATAATCCAATGCCCTACACAGTAATTATAATTGAGGTAATTTCTACATTTCCTTATACGAAATCCTTGAAGACCCGCGTCATCTCGGCGTCTGCACGCACAGACTTGGGTTGCCCAACCGAGTCCCCCCACTTTCGAAATTCCTTTATCTTCTCTAGCGACGCACCCGAGATTGTAGATTATCACATCAATCTCCATAAATTATCATTAGAATATTCTGTTTGCGGTAGCGTCAACGTAATTAATTAACACCGTACGGGTGTCATCGAACGAATGTATTTCAGTGTTGACAAAAGATAATCGACTTTCGCACGGAGCCCGTCCGTTTATCACGGGGACGACCGGCAGTGTCACTACAAGTGCAAAAAATTAAACAAAAATATCAAACGCAAAAGCGTTTCGCACCAACCTCTGGTGGAATGTGATAAACAAATTGATTTTTTTTTTGTCCATCAGATGTTGCGTTTTTATCGCAAACGTTGTCGTTTGATTGTGACGTACGTTTAGTAAAATTAGAGTACTCTCCGCCTAACGGTATCGTATGCAGCCGTTTATTGTTTGACACTCGTGTACGGCCGAGTGTGTCTTGGTATCGGAACTGGTTATTAATTCTCACGTTCACGGTCACTGGTATTCGTGTTGACTGTGTTTTGTTCGCTACTAATTCACGACCGTCCATTCATCAAGTTTGTCGATTGTGTCTGTTGATGAGCACAATTGTGTTTGAGAGCAAACGACTAGAGTGCGAACGTCTCGAATTGTCAAGTTTATGAAAATATCTGTTTGCTCGATTTTCGAGCACTTGAGTTGGTTAAACGATGCTAATCAAAAGGATACATTGACGACATCGCGCAAGTACAACGATACAAACAGTAGACTTTGAATAGTCTCGCGACGTTTTTACGGGAAATAATAATTTTACTATTTCCATGCAAAACGCGTTATCATCGGCTGACCGTCGGCTAGCACCACAGATCTTATGAACATGGTCAGGACATTCATAATTGAGTCCCTTGTGTTTTCCTGAACTGATATTGATATCAGGCAGTTTGTTTACATTTTAATTGTGATAAGCGCATGAGATAATGTTTTTCAATTTTGTAACAAGTTATAAATTATGACTTTTACATTATTATGAATTACATAACCCATACTAATTATTTAATACTAACCGTTAAATAATAAAATGTAAAATCCTATAATGTAATAATGCCAACAAATAGCCTCAATTTACTATCACCACAGTGTTCACCGATAAAGCATCAATGTCCTATCCGTGTTTATAAGACCTATGGCTAGCACACTGCTATTCGGGAGTACTTATTCAACCGTTCGTCCAATAGGAAAACTGCTTTAGTGTTATCGGCAGCAACTAAACGGGCCGGTAAAAAATACCGCTGGGGGCTACAATCATTTTTGTCGTGTCCAGCCATAAAATGTACCGTGTAAACATCGACACGCATGATCCGAAGGTACGCCCGATTGGAGATAACAGATTAAAATTACGGTTATCGGTCTGTATGTGCATCGCGTTGTACCTCGGCCGTACCCAAACACTTACAACTTACAGAAGATGGAACATGTTATCTCACAGTGTTATTACGATCTACGCCACGAGGTCCGATTAATAGTAATCGTTGGACGAGAAGGAACAAAGATCGATTTGAAATTTTTATCACTGCCACAATTTTTGTATGATTTTAATTTAACAGCGTCACGAACTCATCCAGAATTTTAATGCCCTTTTGTAGTTTCCATACATTTCTAAAGGTCCAATTTATGTATTGCCACTTATTCGCGCAAAGCCAATTCCGGTTGATATGATTTACGGTAAATTGCGAAGATTTCAAATTATTTATGTTTTCCGTTTTACATTAGTTGGAGCTTAGTCAAAAAAAAAAAAAAAAAATTCATACATTAATAATCATTCGTCTGCATATATTTTTTATAAATCTTTGGTTCGAATGTATTTATTATGGAATATTAAATTTTTGTCTATATCTTTTTATAATTCAAGCTGTGAGTGATAGTTTTTCTAAACAAAACGACAGCACGATGAATAAGTGTGCGCCTTTAAATTTACATATTAAAAAATTTACTAGTTAAAAATGAATTCGTAGATTACGAGAAGAATTCAATTAATTAAAATCTATTATCGGACATGCTATCGCGTTAATTCGTGTGATCTTTCCTAATTTCCATAAACAATAAGGAGAGGCGCTAAAATCAATATAAATGATTGGCCGTCTCCGGTGAAAAATGTATTCGATCCACTGCATATTAGTACTTAAAACGCGCGTTCTTTGACTTGGAGCGAGTCGACTAGTGGTACCGTAAGTATTCAAACACGTGTGTCATCTACGCCTAATGGGCGCGGAGAACATTACGCAACGTGTTCAATATGATCTGAATTCGGCCAAGAGTAATGCGAAGAATGATGGATGGGCTTTTGATAAAAACCGTACCTTTACTCGGAGTACCGTGTCGAACACCCCGAAAGTGTTCGCGAGGCGGTCGTTCGATGTGATCATATCTGTCCGGAACGATATTAAGAAATAAAATGACGTGTCGGCCGTTGATGTTCGCGCGTCCGGCTAAATCGTTTTTCGTTTGTGATATTATCTGATCGGTGGCACTGCTAACGACACGGTGTTGGACAAATCGTCGAAGGGTTTCGACCGGCAGACGGACGACGTGTTTGCCGTGAAAAGGGACACTTTACTGGTAATTCTATTGCCGTTAAATCATTACGTTTACGAGAGTGTTGTGATGTTTGTACGCGTTAATTACGTGGCGTTTTATCAATTTACTTACAAATGCATAAAACAGCTAAAATGAATTAATTCACGAATGCGTTTTTAATCGTTTCACTTGTCCGTCTTTTATAGTCGCGCTGCAACATTTTTCAAGTCTTTACTAGCAAATGAGATGTCTCACATATCAACAACATATTTTTTTATACGTTAACTT